AAAAAGGGGGGATGGGAGGGCAGGCAGAAGACCCTCTGCTGACTCCTTGAGTTTGTAGGATTAAATCCAAACTTCTCTGCTTAGTAAACAAGGCCTTTGCCAATCTGATCCCAATCTTATAAGCCTCACTACACATCCTATACCAGTGTTCTTCAAACTGTAAGTCATAATCAATGAGTAGGCTGTAAAATAAATTTTGTATACTAAAACAAGTATTGATTAGAATAGACAATATCAGAGTGCAGAGGGAAAAGATCAGAGGGTAAGCATTATTTCATGAAATTTCTGTTTCAGTTTTAAATGAAAGTAGGTAGATGTGAACGCATCACAGCATAAACTTCATTTTAAAATTTTACTTATTTTTCCTTAAGAATTGCAGTAGTAAAGACTCACAGATGGGCTAATCACTTAATTGTGAGTCCTGATTTTACTCATACAGTTTTCCAGCTTAATAATAAAGGATAATTCTTCTTCATAAGAGGCATGTATAAACTGATCCCCTCCCTACAAAATCTATGATATGCATCTATAAAAACAGCTAAACTAGACCTGATTATTAATTGTGGGATAGACAGTTGCTTGCCTTTATAAAGCTAGCCAAAACTAAGGACTCATCCTAATAGCTAGGCCAAGTACATATTATAACATGTGTATCCTAGGAAGTTAGTGGATCACATGAAATAAGAACAAGGTAGCCATTGAATGCAGTCACACATTTGGAAGAACTGAGGGGAAGATACTTGTTGTTAAATAGTATAGTTAGAAGTTCTGCTGATTCCCTGGCATAACTGCAATTCCATCAATTCCACCTGTACCTTATCTTTGGAGAACATGGTTTTCGGATGTTCATCCTGTGTTCGGGACTGCCATGTTAAGTTGGCTAAAGCACTAAGGCACATTTCCTTCAAGTCTATGAAAAAAAAGGGAGAAAGCAGAAAAAGTTATTTACAGTACTATAGTACTAAATCTATCTCTATTACCAAGGGAATATTCAACTACGGTCAAAAATTAACAACTACAGCAGCAAAAAGTAGAGTCATCATTTGATCTGAGATGGTCAACAGCAATCATTCAGAGCTAAACCCCAGCTTAACTTCTACCAGCTGCCAGGCAAAAGTCCCGTTTCTTTGCCAGCTAACCAGAGGAAACTAATTTTGAAGCACTCCAGTTTGCTCTTACTTGCTTGCTTCCGGAGGAAATAGGTATTTCCACTATGATGGCATACATTACAATGAAAGCTGTAGTTGGTCATGAAAGGTAGACAGGACCTGCAGAACAGCAAATGGTACACATTAGGAACTTCTGAACTCACAATTCTTTATGAGAAGTCACTCAACAAGAATCTTTCTCTCTCAGTGAAAGTTAGGTAAAATATTATTAATATACTCGAAAACTTAAGAAGGTCACCAAAATGGGGCTCTTGCTTTTACAAATGACTAGTTTTTTTTTTGGGGGGGTCACAAAAGTTTAATAAGACATGCGGTGGATTAATTACTTTCGTGTATGGCCTTTCTAGCCATAGGGTTGCTATGAGCTGGAATCAACTTGATGGCAATGGGTTTTCTAGTCATGGTCTTGTAACTCCCATCAGGTGACCGGCTGGGGCTGTGTAATAGTTTAATTGTAGCCTACCAAAGGGATTGGTCAGTTTTGCCTTAAAAGAGAGCCAATTCCAGAGCAGAGAGGAGGAGCCCACCACCACCAAGGAAGGAGAGACCCGGCAGCAGAAGATGGT